TCAATTATTATCAGGTGTTCCGGAAATTATGAAAATAGCACTAAGTCTTTAAATTTCAGCATCATCCGATTTCGGTATCATCCCCGACAATATTTAATATTTGGGATCTTTGCCTTGAAAATCACCTTCCGACATTTCCGATCGGGTTAATTCGGACAAAAATAAACCTGAGTACCGGTTCATGTTCATATGTTAATCATCTTTTGCTTTTATTGATCTAATAATTTATCGAATAACTATTGAATCAATAAAGTTAAAAGATGATTAACATATGAACATGAACCGGTACTCGTGTTTATTTTTGTCCAAATTAACCTGATCGGAAATGTCGGAAGGTAATTTTTAAGGAAAAGACCCCAAATATCTAATAGTTGCAAAACCACCATAAGTACGTTTTATGATAAAATTTTGAAAAATTATATGATTTGATTGGTTAATTACCACGGGTAATCGTGGGTAGATTTATAAAAATTAACCAATCACGGAGATTTTCTGCTATGCTCATACGAAGTAGATGTTTTATATGAGTGTCGTTAAAAGAAAACCCGAAAATTTAAATATAAGTCATATTTAAATTTTCGGGTTTTCTTTTAGCGACACTCATATATCAACATATAAATTAAATGTAAATAAAAAAACTTATTTGTTACGAATAATGGATCCAATATGTAGGTATAATTAACTCTTTGTAACCAATTTTAACCATCGGGTAAATAATTTCTATTTTAATTGATTGTTTTTGATTATTTGACAGATCCACCTTCTTTAGACTCTCCAATTAAAAAAGTTGGTTAAGTTGATAGCCTGACGACGAAAAATTTTATCATTGCATTTATTGCATTTTATTCATTATTGCTTAGTTATTCAAGTGAGTTTTTGATCCAATCCATTTCTTACCCATATAGACGTTAGCTTTCATTTTTCAAAAAAAGTTATAGCAGTTTTGACTTCACTTAAAATCGATAATTCATCTATTTCTAAGGGTAGTGTTCCGCAGAACCGAACCGAAGACCCGGAACCGACCCGGAACCGACCCCCGGTTCGAATCCGGGTCTGTTATTTTTTGAAAAATCCGGTTCCGGGTCTTTAGTTGGACTCGAACCGAAGTCAAATAAACGCATTGTATTTCGGGTCTTTCGGGTCGGTTCCGGGTTTTTTCGGTTCCGGGACCCTATTTGGACTCGACCCGATTTTTCGGTTCGGGTCCGGATCCTTAAAGAACCCGCCCGGAACCGGTCCGTGCGGAACACTATCTAAGGGGATTTTTATGGATAATTTTTGGCTTCACAAAAACGAATTAAAAGGTTTTGCTGTTGTTAAAATGCAAATACATTAAAGAACAAAGAAGTGTTGATTGTAAAAAGTAAAAGAAAAAAGTAAATGAATATACATTTTATCGGTATCAGACTAATGCCGTAATATTAATATCGATATTAGTGACTCGGAGTAACAAGTCTCTTTCAAAACACCTACAGACATATGACCGAGTTTTTTTTTGTTGGTCACGCTGGGGAAGATTACGACATACTGCCGTGATATTTTTATTAAGGTAGTTACCA